CATATCACTAGGGTTAGCTTTTTGACGCTGGTTTCTGCTTGGAATTAGTCTCCATAGCCTCTTGAATAAATATATTTTAAACACCCAACTTCTTGTACTCCTATCTACATTATCAAATGAATATGTATGTCTAAGAAAACCTAGCTTGCTATGGAGAAGTAAAAAGAATGATGTTTTCAATGTTTTTCGTCTTTTTTTTTTCTCCAATGGTGTGATGTTTTCTAAGTCGGTCCACTAAGGAATTAATGTTGGCCTAAATTCTAAAATTAATAAAGGTTGACATTATGGATTAGTTTAACAGATGTGTATAAGTTACGAGGGGTTAAGGGCTCACCGAGAAATAAAGTATGCATCATGACAGTGGTAGAAAGGTATATACTTCTCTTGTTCAAATTGCAACGTCTTTGTCATGGCCGACTGATCACCGATGTGGTTGGTATTGACGATATTATCATATTCATATGACCATATTTATTAGAAAATTAGTTTAATTAAGCTCCAGCTAGTACTCACTAATTAATGTAATACCTTAAACATATAAAATCCCGTCAAGCATTTCAAACAGGTGAAAAAAATATGGCAAGTAACCAGGAACAAAATGGCAGGAGATGTCCACAATTTGATTTTCCGGCACCGCTGAAATGTTGCCTTTTAAACCTGTGTTATGAATGAACGGGGGCTGAAAGAGGGGATGGTCTCTTCAAAAACTGCAGCATTACATCAACAAACGGCAGCATGCCAGAAAATGACATTGCAGATGACATAATTGCAGAAAATCAAAATGCACATTAGATTGAACAAGACAATATTCATAGTAACATAAACAAAGAGCACATCTGAATGTTATATGGATCCTGTAGGCACCGTTATAGAAAATTGGAGTCAACACCATAACGGATGGAACATGGTCTATTTTAGGATTATATAAAATGCCACCATTTCAATATCATGATGCATTCATTTACGATAATGAATTCCATTTAAATTTGTGCAGAAAACGAAGTTGCACGATTTAATTTCCACAAAATGCCTAATCACACAAAGGTACTAAGGTAAAACAGCACTACAGCAGATGAACATGTATGTAGACACAACAATCTCAAAAAAAAAATTACACCAAAATTTAATATTATCCCACTTCAACACAAAGAAACAATTGGAATCGATGATATCCAACAAGTTCCCCAACATTTTAAAAGATTTTCAAAAGTACCACGCTTAATTAAGGGAGAAATAACTTTGACCTTAGTTCTATTCATTAGCAACCCAAAGAAACGAGTAATGCTACGATGCCCGAATTGGTTTTTTGGCGACTCCAATATACAGTCTCCAACAAGAACAGTATAAAATAGGGTATTTGTCTTTCTACTTTTATCATTTTCCAAATCAAATTAACACAGAACTACAATTCTTCCAGTCTGGTTGTTTTAATGCGGAAGAAAAGAAAAGCATGCAACAAGAACGTATCAAAGTTCAAAATGACTCATTTTGTGTACTATCAAATCAGCATGTTTGTGTACCGGAAGCTGATTTTAGAAATTTTCAGTAATGAAACATCACAAGTGAGAATTGGCAATGAGGTTGCGTATCATGTGGCTAAACTCCGAATGGCAAAGCGAATATCAAACAACACAGCTTTCAAGCCCTGGATTCTCCCCAACAACAGCATTTACAACATGTAATTCTCAAAACATACTTGACTGAAGCCACATTAACGTGTCCAAAAAATCGGTTTGTGCAGTAAACAAAAGAATTCGGAACACTGCACCACCACCGGCAATATGGGGCAAGGGGTAGAAAGCAGCATGAACATTGCATTTAATAACTCCCTCTCTAGGAAGCTGCCATCCATGAAGACAATGAATTATATTAGGGCGAGAGATAATCTGACCTGGATCCAATTGCTCAACATGACTGCGTGCGTGCAAGGCTGATAAGTGCAAATGATGGCAGTTCTTGCATGTCCTCCTACAGGGTTCTTCAAGACTGATATTTTTTGAAGATTATTTGAAAATAATATGTCTTAACCATTAACAAGATAAGAAGATATGCAGTCAGCTTTTAAGCTTTCGTATTATTTGACAATAACAAAGGTGTAATGTTTATACATATATATATATATATATATATATATATATATATATATATATATATATATATGTTAAATGAATTTTTTAAAGCCATGGGGCCAATTCAGCCCGTTTTTCCTCTCCTCTCTTCCCGTAATCTTCTCTCTCTCTCTCTCACTGGTTCTTCACTTTTCTTTTTTTCTTTTGCTTCAAAAATTCAAGTTTCAATTAATCTCTCATCTCTTGCAGTTTTTGGGAGTCGTTTGCGGTAAAACGGAGAGCATAGCGAGATCTACATGTGAGTATAAGCAATTTATCATTTGGTGCACTCTAGGGATTTCGAAATTCTAGGGTTCTTGGGCTCAAATTGGGGCTTTTTCTCTCATTTGAGGTAGGAGTGTTTAATTCATGCATTCTTGTTCTTTTGTGAATTTTCTAGTATGTATTGTGCTCTAGCATGCCTATTTTGTGGAAACTCTTGTAAAAATTGTTTAAGTGTTGTATGTGAGATCGTAAAAGTAGAAGTTAATTGATGAATTATGATGATGCATGCTTAACATGAAATTAATTCCATATTTTATATGCTTAACATGTTAAATTATGGTTGAATGAAGGCATGTCATGCTTTATTGGAATTATTTGTAAAGCATGCTATGTAGTATAATTTTTGAACTTATGTAAAATAATAAATGTTGGTAAGATGCATCTATGCACCTCTTGGGAAGAAATGGGAATGATGTTTTGAGAAAAATGAAATGGGGTTTTCGGGAAGAAGTTTTCAAATATAATTTTATAAAAAACCCGGTCGCCTAGGGGTTACCGAAGGGCCGTGGTGTTAGTGAGGCCTAGAGGGGACTAGGAAAATTCTCCTTAGTGTGGTTGAGCTATCTGGGCCCCAAATGACGCCACGGGGTTACCATGGGTCAGGAACAATAATTAATCCTCCTCTCGTGTTGCCAGGGGGTCACCGTGGGACAGGTTTCACTAACGGTTTGGAAATGATAACGGTTATGATTTTGAAAAAAAAAAAAAAAAAATGGTGAGAGACATAGCACATCATGGCATTACATTTCATGGCATTTTCTTTCATGACTTGGATTATTAGTGTGATTGTGTAATTATTTTCTCGGCATAGCATGATCCTTGTTCTTTTATTGCTATTCGTGGTGTGGATTCACGGGGTTTAAAGAGGTGTGTCTTAAGCACTACCTACTGAGCTTTGTGCTTACCCTATTATTTTATATTTTTCAGGACACGGAAAAGAAGTGACGGATGACGTTCCACCACAGGCCTACCATGGATTAGATGATCGTTTTGTTATTTTTGTATCTAAGTCTCACTTTTTTTTGTAAAACTTAACATAATGTATTTTGTACGAAGACTTATGGACCCTTATTATTGTAATTATATCCATGGGCTGTAACTTTTATATAAGTTGTCTAAATGTTGTAAAGCTTGGACATTTGATCTTAACCTTGTATTTTGGGACTGTAATTATGATATTTGGATAAAATGGTATGTGATTATTCCACCATGGGGATGAACTAAGTTAAGACATAATGAATGGAGGAAAGGTATGCTGGAATATAATATTTTGCATTGTGTGTTGGGACAGGTTGGATAAGTCTAGAAGGCCTGAGTGAGGCTATTGCATATTTTTTTATGCATCTAAGCAGGTTGTTATAGGTCCCTTTTTAGTAGAGGTCATGCCGAATTTTTTTTTATAATTAGTATCATTTTAGGGTCGTTACAAAAAGTAAGCAGCTTACCTTGTGAGGGTGATGTACCTCATGAGGGTGATGTGAAGTTGATGTACTGATGTTGTGTAATGTTTGCTTCCTACAGTCCCACATTGGAAAAACATAAATGTGAGTTTTCTGGTGAGTCCTATATATTAAGTTGAAAGCCAAATGTACAACATACTTACCTGGACGGGATCAATGAGTGATAAAGAAGGCCCATGGTCTAGGTTGGTGACCTCCATTGCACTCAAGAGGGGTGCCTACCTAAGGTTTACCCAAGTAATGCAGCCTACATCATAATTTGTGGTAGTGGGGGCCTACGTTCGCGCGGCCCCTGCCAATATCTAAAGCCCAAGCATTTGCTCATCCGATGGTCCTCAAACCTTAAAAATCTAAAAGTAAACCTTTTCTAGTCTATTTACAGACAGATTAATTAACCATTTTTTTTTTTTTTTTTTTTACTTAAGAGAAGAAACATTTATGAAATGAGGAAACTAGGTTCCTAAATGTCCACCAACAAAGTTTGGATCATTACTGGAGCCACACTACATGAATAAAACACTAGATATAAAGTCTTACAGAAATCTGCAAGTTATCATCCCCCAGTCTTCTACTACCATTTCTTACAGCAGAGGAAGTCGATTCACTGCACAAATAATGCATCACTTCTTCTCCGTCCGAACTTCAGAAATCAAAATCAAATAATGTATGTTTTATGTCTCATTGCTTGATGTATTAGTAAATGCTTTTACAAGCCAAATTAAAGATTTTAATAACTCCCTTTCTAGGAGGCTGCCATCCATAAACAGAATGAATGTAGTAGGGCTAGAGCCTAGAGATAGTCTGACCTGGATCCAATTGCCTCTGAGCAATGAGCATCCAAAAAATCCCAGAAGTGGGAGACAATTCGACCAACCACAAAATTGGCTGCCACAACTCTCCATCAAACGGAAAGTGATTACAAAATAGCACGGTATTAGATGTGGCAAAAATCGATCCCAAACTCTTCTACATTCTCTCCAAAATATCCAGTTCTATTTGCAACTGTTTAACTATCCCTCATCTGACATCACCACATTAACCTGTGCATGAGTACTGAATGTTCGTTTCTGCAGTCCCACATCGGGAAAACACAAGTAGGAGTTACATTGAGAGCTCTATATAACAAATTGAAAGCATATGGTACAACATACTTACCTGGACAGGGTCAATGGGTTATCAAGAAGGCTCATGGGCTAGATTGGTGACCTCCATTGCACTTAGGAGGGGTGCCTATCAAAGGTCTACCCTAGTGGTGGAGCCTACGTCATAATTTGTGATAGTGGGGACTTGCGTTCGCACGGCCCCTACCCAAGAAAAAATATATATATCTCAATCTAATGGTATCAAATTGGTTCTTCATAAAGAAATTCATTACTCTGATGGTCACCAAAACTGAATTGAATTTTACCACAACTGAATTTTAAGGTGTGTTATCTTAAAACTTTTCTACACCAAAATTTTATATTATGCTACCTCAACACAAAATGAAAAACGACAATTGGAATCAACAAGTTCGTCAATATTTTAATAGATTTTCAAAAGGACCACCATAATTAAAGGGAGAAAGAACTCTGACCTTAAATCTCAGAAAGCTACTCTTCTGACCTACACGGAAAGAGCGTCAAATAACACTTGTCAACACCAAAATTTCAACCACCCCACGGATTACAACAAAGACTAACAAACAAATGAGCAATGCATATGCAAATTTGAAAACATGATTTCGGATAGCCCCAAAAAAAGCACAAGAGCAAAAAGCAAACCAAGCAAGACCCATCAATAGTAGAATTTTCCAACTAACAGATAATGAACCCTTTAGAAGAAATAGAAAGTCACAAAAAATTTAGCATAATATGAGAATAAAGTACATATAAAACATGAGTAAGGAATAAGTTTTATTGAATAACTTAAACATTAACCCAACAATCAAATAAACTCAAACCCACCAATATGTGATTGAATTAGTGTACTCTAGATGAATGTCGATAGAATATCGCCACATGTCTGATGAGAGAATGATGGAGAGACGCTTTCCTGAGACTGCATCTGGGTTTATCTAGCATCTCCTGGCTGCCTCCAAAATGACCTTATCATGACGAGTAAGGTTTGTGTCTATGTAACGACCCAAATCCTCATGGATCCGAATCATTAAACGGGTCCTTACCCGACCTAAAATCGTCCGAGGGTAAAACGATCTTTTCACATTAAATTTAAATAACAAGGTCCAAAAGGGCAAAATGGTAATTTGCTACAATTCAATAAATTGAGACTCAAGGGTACAACGGTCATTAACTTGTGTCACATAGCAAATAAAATAGGGTTCGGGCAATATAGTCCTTTCGGGGTTAAAATATAATTATGGCATTTTATTGGGTCATAAAATAATTACGTGCAACTTCAAATGGATGCCAAGGTGTAATTTTGGGAAACTAAACACATATTACATAAGTGATAGAAACCGGTCGACGTATCCACACTATACGTCTACTGGTTTGGATATGAACAGTGGGAAAACCCACTGCCAAGATATCGGTCGTCATATGGGATGCCCTACGTCGACTGGTTTGAAACGTGTACAAGATTACCACACTGTAAGATACCGGTCGACGTATAGGGAGCCATACGTCGACTGGTTTGTGTCATTCACGTTCAAAATGCTTACTGTCAGGATACCGGTCGACGTATAGGAAGCTACACGTCGACTGGTTTGGGTTATCTTCACCCACTGTCCAAAGACTGTGCCACTACACTCACGTACATAAACTAAGATATATTTCAATATTTAATTGCAATAATAAGATAATTTACAACACGTTATATGATATACGGGAATTAACATGATTCGAATTTAATTACATTACCCAAATGGCCATATACATGATAAATCCAAATGTTTTACATATTGCAAAAATAATACATTTTGTGTCATGCACTTTACAAGAATAGTTTAAGTCCCACAAAATACATTCAAAAATGCCTTAAGTTCCCTTAGCTCTGTGGTGGATTATCATCCGCCAATTCCTTGCCATGACCTGAAAAATATTAATTTTGTGAGGTGAACAAATTGCTCAGTTGGTAACACTTAAGACACGTCTCTTGTGTCCCTGTGAATCCAACCAAAGAATAGGACAATAGGAATGGGGATCATACATTGTCAGAATAACACAGCATAACAACAAGTCTCATTATAAACACTAGAATGCTATGGGATGCAATGCATGCCAATGTCGCTCCCCATTTTCGAAATCATCACTTACAAACCGTTAATGTAACCCCCTTTGGTGACTCCGCAGCGCCGAGAGAAGGATTGGCTACTGTCCTTGACCTTTGGTGACTCCGCAGCGTCATTATGAGGCCCAGATAGCTCAACCACGCTAGGGCAATCTCCCTAGTTCCCTCTAAGTTACATTAACCTACCAGCCCGTTGGTGACTCCGCAGCGACCGAGTTTTATCAAAACACTTTCATTAATACATTCTTTCCCAAAACTCCCTTTTTTTCATTTTAAAGTCAATTTTTCTCATTTCTTGCCCAATGGAAATGCATAGATGCATTTATGTCATGCTAATACTCATCATTCCACAACCAACTCAGTTTAAGTAAGCAATGCATAATTTCGCAAGAATTTCCTAAGAAAATTCAACATGCTCTCATACAACAATACATCTAGCATAACAAACATATACAAATCATTACGTAGGCACGTTTTCCACATAAAACATTTAATACAAGCTCTCACATAACCACATATACATGTTCTAACTATTTTTAAACTACAACTAGCACAAATAAGCATGTCTTGTAACAATTTAGAAGATGTAATTCACATAGGAGCAAGAAAATTGTGGATTAAGAGCCCCTACCTCAAATTAGAGCAAAACCCTTAAAATGGTCAAGAAATTCGAAGGCCAAAGGAAGCACCAAATCTGAAATTGTTGGTATCAATGCGTAGAGTTCGTCGTGTTCTCCGTTTTGCCTCAAACGGCACTCAAAGTTTCCAAGGATTGAGAGAGTTATCAAAGATTAAAGTTAGCTTCCCAAAGAAAAAGAAAAATGCAAGTAAGAGAGGGAAGAAGGAGAACCAGTGGGAGAGGGAAGAAGGAGACCAAAATGTGGTCTCAAGACCTTTAAGTTGTTGGTGGTGGGTCCCATGCATTTTATTTTCTTATACCTTTTTCTTTTGCTTTTATTTGTACCACAAACACATTTAAATACACTACCACATAAATACTATATTACTCACATGAATTAGCATGCACAAAATGCAAATGGACCCAACTAAGAGAAAAGACAAGAATGCCCTTACGGCGACAAAATTCCAAAAAAATTAAAAATGGTAAAAATCGGAAACGTCACAGTCTAGTTTGAAAGTGAGACAGATTGAGAGATGGTTTGACTTGCTGCAGTTTTGGGCAATGCATTAAAAAGGAGTGAAAAGGTGTATTATCTTTTAAAAAATGAGTGGGAATGTAAATTTTGTATTGGAAAGGTCATTGAGTGTGGTCTCTTCAAATTCTATATTTTGATTAAAAAGAAAAAGAGAGTAAAAAATGTATAGAAAAAATCAAAAATTTATACACTTTGTCACTTTTATTAGTAGCATAGATAGATATAGATATAGATTTATATTTTGATGTGACACCAAATCATCATGTTTCTAGCTGAGGTTTCCAAGAGGCATGCAATGCCATCAAAGGAGCCATCAAATGTATAAACTCCATCAAAGCAAGAAATTCAAAGTGCACTTGAATAAACAATCTACATTTTGCATAGTCTTACAAATTGCAATCAATTTTTATTCAATTTGCGAAGAAAAACGCATGAATGTAACCTTTATGTTTCAACAGACTTTGGGATCATGCAAAGTATATATCGAAGAACAGGTTACTCCCCTGTTCCAACAGACTTTGGGATCATGCAAAGTATATATCGAAGAACAGGTTACTCCCCTGCTCCAGCATAAACATAAATCTATAAACATTGATCTATCAGAAGCATCAAAGTCCCACCCACAATCCGATCTCTAGTTGCCATTTTTTCCCCATATCTCACAAATATTTCTGCTAAATCAAACAACCCAACCTCTCTCAATTTCTTCGCCACCTTCTCAAACATAATCACCCCTTCTTCATTTAAACAATAATGCAAAAATCTATTGTAATTAAACCTATGAACCTCAAGTCCTCTATTCATCACTCTCTGCACATACTTTGTTGCTTCTAAAGACTTCCCTGACTACACTAAACCGCCAACAAATATGGTGTCAAAATTCACTAGTGGGTCTGATCCCTTGCAGTAACATTACATATGTATGCATTGTAGGCTCACAACCTCTCTTTATCATCTCTCTAAACACTTGTATCTGGTTTCTCAATCCTTTACACAATCTTATAAGCCTCCCTAACTGGAGCCTTTGTCAATAGCCTATAAGTTAACGACCCCAATGTCAAATTATCAGCTTCAATCCCTCTCTCATGCATTTCTTCGAACACCAAATGAGCTTGCCCAAGCTTACTTTTTTACACATCCAATTAATCACAAGTTGGTACGTTGATAAACCCAAATCATCAATCCTTTTTCTCCTCATTGATTGAAAGACCTTCAATGCTTCATCAAATTGATTAATCTTGAAAAGGGTCTCCATCATTGTCTCAACCGTCTATCCATCCAATTCTATTTGCAACTGCTTAAGTATGCCTTCTCAGACATCACCACGTTAACCTCAGGTAATGTTTGCTGCTGTAATCCCACATCGGGAAAACATAAATGTGAGTTATCTGGAGAGTCCTATATTTTAAGTTAAAGCCTAATGCACAACATACTTACCTGGACGGGATCAATGGGTGATCAAGAAGGCCCATGGTCTAGGTTGGTGACCTCCATTGCACTTAGGAGGGGTGCCCGCCTAAGGTCTACTCAAGTAGTGGAGCCTACGTCATAATTTGTGATAGTGGGGCCTGCGTTCGCGCGGCCCCTGCCCAATATTTTAAGCCCAAGTTTTTTTTATTTAACAAAGAATTGTTCTACATTTTCTAATTCTTCCAAAAAATAATCTCTATTATTCAAAATTCTCAGAATCCACCCCTTTAAATCAAATTTTAGCATTGATTAGCTATCCTAGTTTCCCTGACAGACAGGTTAACCGGACTGCAATAGGAAAAATGCTGCAATCTACGGCCTCTTTTTGTAAAGGCCATATCTTTCACTCCTCAATCCACACACACACACATATATATATATATCATCCATTTTCCATTTCAACAATCCTCTTCCAGCGCCCCATTATCGACCAAGCAAAACAGAGTGCCC